TAGTATTATTTATCTCGAGAAATAAAGTTCGTTCATTCGTTTCTTCCTTTGATTTTCTTTAAAAGTTACTAATAGATCGTGATTTTTCGTCTAACTTTTTTCGAACTTGACCAACTGTAAAAGAAACGAAGAAAAAGTAGAAAGAATCTAAGAGAAAGTAAGTTGCTTACTTATAAAGTTCGGATTTTTGGTAAAACAAAAGGGTTACTCGTTCTAAGATTAAGATAGATCACAAATTCCGATATAGATATAAATATCTACTCGCATTTCAACGAGCTTGTTCCGTTTAACTGTCGATGTAACGAATGTGGGCCGAGTTCTACTCTCTTTTACAAAAGCAAAGTCTGAACGTTACTTGGGAAAACATCGTATCGGGCCCTTGACCAAACACTCGTTTCTACCGTCGTGAGTGATGTTTAGCTTGCCGAGTACTGTTTACATAGCTTAATCGAAAAATCATAAGTATCCTAGCACTAGAAGAAGAAGAGAAAAAAAAATATAAATACAAAAAGATGATTAACGTATCTAAAAGATACCGAAAGTATCATCGACGGTGTAGAATCTTCGTCACAATTTTACAAAACTCTTTGTAAAAAATTTTCCAAATAATTAGATCAAACAAATTACAAAACACTATAAGATTCTATATTGTATAGACTAGAAAATATTTATAAGAAAAAAAAAATATATTATCTATCACGAGAAAGCATATAATATATAGGGGTATAGTTAACCGTTAGGTTAAGGATCGATAAAATTTCTATGCCAGCATGTTCTGACCAAAAGATTCTTCAATGAAAATTCCTCTGATCATTACTTATATGCTATGAAGTGGAGAATGAAGGATTAGATTAAGGTGTAAAATAAAACACGTGGTTGAGCCAAACAAAGAAACAATGCCTTTTTTATTGGCTCNCTAGAGGGGCGCTTCGGTAGTTACTAGTAGTTGATCGATGCTCACCATGAGTATCGATCGAGACCTTTAATCGATGGAGGTGGATGCGCGCGAATTTTGAATACTGCTAATTACCGTATGATCCTTTTGGATCGTACACAGCACGTGCGAATAATAACAGTTCGAATAAAGTCAAATAAAATTTAACCAAAGGAAGTAATAATATCTTTTTTTTTAAAAAGGGATATAGAGTGAAATCGCTATTATACTTGGTATATAATTCGAAAGAGTTATTGCGACGGGTCCTTTCAAGTTATCGCTTGTAAATCTAATAGCTTCATTAGAACAAGGTACCTATCTATAAATAGATAGATATATCGAAGGACGATAGAGAAAAAGTGTTGTTTTGTTGGAACGATTCGAATAGTATAATATAAACGTAACGTGTTACCTTTTACTACCTACTAGAGGTATGAGAAAAAATAAAAGGAAAAAGAACAGAATAAACAACAAGAAAAAAAACTGCTAGATACGCAGCAGTTCTTCTCATAAATGTATCCCAAAAGAGAGAGAAAGAGAAAGAGAGACGTTAAGAAAATTTCTGACGACCGGTTGTCAATACCAATCAATGTATATCCATGTAAAACAAGAGGAGCTTGGTTTTGGTTCTCTCCAAAGGATGGATTTAGATGAGGGTTTAGATACATAGAGGGAAATCCGGACGCTCGTGTCCCTCATTATCTCGGCATCGGCCACGAGAAACGGGCCCGGTCCGAACAGGTACAAACACAGTGGTTCTCCTTTTTGAACGTGATCGAAGGAAGAACTACCACCACCACCAAACCATTAGGCCTTTTCTCTGGTTCTATTATACTATGCTCTAGGAAGCAAACGATCGAGCTTTCGAACGGAAATCAATTTGCCTAAACGACCCAGTGCCGGACCGAAACGAGTGGTACTTCTTTTTCTATAACGACACCTGTCATTTTCATGCTGAGAGAGACAAATATTTCTTATTGGGCTTTTGGAGTCAACCACAACCACAACCACCACCACCACCATCACCACAACCACTACCACCACCACCACCACCACCGCTACCTACCCTTCACTACCAATGAAACGCACTATTAATAAATCTTATGTAACTATATAACGTGTTTATAATAATAATTATTAGAACTGATGAGATTTTCATAGTCATCTTTCTCCTCTCTCTCCCGCTCTCTCTCTCTTTCTCTCTTCCTTCTACTTCTTCTTCTCTTGCTCGTTTACATCCAAAATACGAGACGATATTTCAAATATCAATGATGAAAAGCGACGATAGAAATCTCTAAATACAATAATTCATTCGTCTTTCATAGTAAATATATATATTATATATACATATATAGAGATACCTTCTTCCTTTTATAGAAAGACGAACAGTTCAAGCAACATTAATTATACAAATTTATGATAGAATTGCTAGCGTGTCGTTCGTATCGTCGCGAACACGAGCGGCTTTTAATCTTTCCCCCCTTTTCGAAAATGTTCGAAAGCATCTTCTGTTGTTCCTTCTCTCTCTCTATCTTTCTCTTTCTCTTTCTCTCAGGAATTGAGTAAAAGCGAAGAAGGATTCTCACCGAAATTCGAAGAGACGAATCGTGCATGCAAATCCTTTGAAACGTGAGAACGTCGGTGGATACGACCAAGATGACGACGACAACGACGAAGAGAAGAAGAAGAAGAAGAAGGGCGTTTTCCTTTCGGATCAGGTTTAAGCATGCATAATCTGTCTTAAGAAGGTATTACGTATTAATGGTTGGAGTTCCTCCTTCTTACCATTCCTGACGTAAAAAAATACGAGACAATTTTGTCCTCCCTCTCTTCCTTCTTTCTTTTTTATTTTGTTTCTTTCAAATCCTTCGAACTTGACTTTTTTTTTTTTGTAACTTTCTTTTACAAAGCAACCTTACTTCTTCCTTCCTACTTATTCTGTTTTTTTTCTTTTGGTACTTTTTGTTTTTATCGCGATAGGGACCTGGACCACCGTACGTTCTCGTTCGCAGCAATAACTTTGCGCTAATGTATTTCGAGGATTTAATTATTCGCGGTCGCGCACGCCGACGGCATATTAATCGAATGCTAATCGAGCCACTGTTAATGGGTCCCTGTTATACTCGAGCGCGGATTTATCGACGTGCGATCTCATACGGCAATTGCCTCGACACCCTCGACGATGAGAACGACGACGACAACAAGAACGACTCTTTAAGAAAAGAAACGAGACAAAAATAAAGTTGAAATCCAACCAAAAAAAAAATAACAGAAAAAGCAACTAAAAACCACCCTCTCGTCTTTGATCTTTTATTTTTTTTCTCTTACACGTCGACAGATTTTGTAAACCGTATCGATTTATTAAAATGATGTTACACATCTTACGACAAGGATGAAAGAGTGAATAAAAGAGAAAAAGAGAAAGAAAAAGAGTATGAGAGAGAGAGAGAAAACAGAGATTAAACGCGCCGTCGTTGAGCTCATCTAGATACCTAGTATCGCTGTGTTGTAATTTGTACCAATTAGATTAATGTGCCGATTTAATTAGTCCGTTCTTCCAGCGTCTGGGTCTCACTTCTCTCTCTCTCTCTCTCTCTCTCTCTTTTACCCTCTCATACTCTCTTGGCCTCCCTTAACTCGTCGTGTACACGTCGCTATGAATATTTCGTGACGAGCCGTAGTAATGTAAGCTGAAAAAAATCCCTCGAGGTGAAGCAGAGTGTGTGTGTGTTTGTGTGTGAGAGAGAGAGAGAGAGAGAGAGAAAGAAAAAAGAACGTTCATTTGGATCATGCTCGCGTGCCTTTACTTTAGCAACGATCGTACGTAAAGTGTTAAAACGTTATAACATAGCTGCTAAAACTATGCTCAACAAAGTGTATCGACGCGAAGATAAATGCTTATATACGCGCGAGACGACATTAAAACGTACGACGTATGAATATCTATTTTCCCATCATCGTACTTGTAAAACGAACATTCCCTTCCTACCCTATACCTTCTCTTTTGCTTGTGTACACGCACACACACATACACTATTTCTCTTTTTGCTTACTCGTTTTCTTGATCGTTCAAGAAAATATCACTAAACACCTAAGATATTTTCAATGTACCAAGTTGTAATTTTCTTTAGCTACCTAATGCATCTCGTTATGGCACTTTTATCACGATTAACTATTAAAGTCGAGACACTTTAAAACCAACACCGTTTCTAACGATTAGAAAAAGAAAAGAAAAGGAAAAAGTGTATATAAATGGGGTTGGGGGATGTAAATGACATTGGATTAAGTTGATAGCTTTACTGAAGTGGCTCGTGGGGGAAAAAGAAAGAAAAGAAAATAAAAGATCGAGTCATTCACTTAAACTAGAATTGCATTTTATACTTTGATCGAATCCTTTTGAAGAAGAAGAAAAAGAGAAAGAAGAAGAAGAAACATACATGTTAGAGAGTACGAAAAGGGGAAACTTATCGGGGTAGAAGCAAGTGTGCATTCTGTATGCATCGCGTACTCTCATTCTCTCATATTCCACTTCGTAGCTCGTGTCCCCCTTTTTTTTTATTTTCTTTTTTTTCACCGTAATAAAAGCAAGACTTTGTTTTCTTTCGAAATGAGCCAAACAACAAAGCAAACAGTCATGAATCGTGAATAACCAAAGAGAGAAGAACAACCCTCTCGATATATCCCACTTGTAACGATGACTCGCTTCAATATCCTATTATTACGCCGAGATTTCGACTTATTGTTAGAAGAATATGAAAGAATAACGAAGAATATGATGACGTTTAACCCGATTCACTGGGACATTTCAAGGTAAACATGTTAATTATAAACGATCGAGGTATTTACCATGTTGAAAGAAAAGTTTCGTTAAATATTCGAAGAAAATGAGATTTTCCGAGCGAAACAGCGGATATACACGGTTATACCTTTTGTTTGTACTTGGTGCTCGGAAAAGCACCGGGAATGTGTGCACACGGAAGCTAGCTGACTTGCAATTAGCTTGAATAAATGAACGGAGAAAGAAAAGAAAATAAAAGTAGAAAGTGGTATGATAAAAATAACTCACAATTTTTCGGCGGGAAGAAGAGCACCCAGGTCGCCTGGTATTTGCGTCAGTCCTCGAAGAGAACAGTCGACCTCTTGACCTCCACAGGAACAAGCCCAAGGACAACTTGCCGTGTTGAGATCGTCCATAGTACCGGAAAGACTTCCAATGCCGAAACTGCCGATGCCGGTGCCAGGACCGTGAGATGCACCACTACCGAGAACTGAGAGTATCAGAAGTAGTCCCCAAGCGCAAACTACGGAACCGCAGCTAACGCTGAGGAAACGTAACGACCAGGAAGGCGTCATAACGCGGATCATTGCCAGCACTTTACGATTAACGTCCTTCACCGCAATATTCGGTCTTTCGAGGATTTTGGCGAAGCGACTCCCGACACGGCTCTTCGGCCGTATGTTATCTGGGTTGTACAGATCGTAGTAAGGACCCTCCGTCGCAATTCCGCTCGTACAAAGTCCACCGTAAACGTAGGGCACGTTTGGGGCAGCGGTAGGAGGAGCACTGCTAGCGCTACCACCAAAGCCAACAACACTAGAAGAACCACCACCACCACCACCACTACTACTAGCAACACCACTAATGACAGACGGTTCCAAGAACGAGGAAATCTCTTGTCCTTCCGCGGGAGGACAACCGAGTACCCGTACCGGACGAAGAATCGGATCCTGATCGAGATGTATGATAGCACACTCGATTTCCTCCGAGTGTCTCAAATCTCGACGATCCTCTGCTCGTTCTTCCTTTGGCTGTTTGTTGTCCCTCGAAAGTTCTCTCCTTCGAGCATGAACTCGACAGAGGCGATAATTCTGATTGATTCCAGGACGCCCTCCTCCTCCACCACCGCCGCCGCCGCCACCTTCACCTCTTCCTCCTTGATAACGTTGATTACGATGATGATGATGATGATGATGATGGTGGTGGTGTGGATGAAGATGATTCTTGCAATAGTAGGTTCTCTGTTGTCTACCTTCCTCGCAAATTCTACCACGGGAAGCCTCGACGTTGTCCAACGTTATTATTCTCAAAGATTTCGTATCGTCTTGGCACTGTTCTTCTTGCCTGGAAGAAGGTTGCTGCTGCTGTTGTTGTAATTGTAGTTGTAGTTGTAGTTGCTTCTGCTTTTGCTTATCGTAATGGTGATGGTGATGATGATGATGGTGGTGGTGGTGACGATAGTCCTCCTCCGCTTGTCTCTTTCGATGAACACAGACAGGGGTGTCCGGTGATGAACGACAAACTCGAATCGCGTATTCCTTCTCGTCTGTGGTTTCTAACTCAAAGTCCGCCAGCGCACTCGGAACAGAACCAGTAATATCTCCTAGTTCTCCCTCCGTTTTCTCCTCCAACCTTCCCTTTCCTTCCTCCTCACCTACTTCTTCTTCCTCTTCTTCTTCTTCTTCTTTTTTCTTTTCGTGTCTCTCTCGATTCGAATCAAGGGACTTAAACAACAAAACTGAAGTGGATGATGATGGCGGCGACGATGGTCGCTCGCAAACTAGACCATCCAGCAGGCCCTTCTGGGGGCCTTCTTCGTGGCCCCCTTCTTGTTCTGGTGGCCTCTCGAGCAAGCTGTCGTCTAACACTAACGGCACCACCCGTTCCTGCGCATCTTGGGCCACAGCTCTCGCTGAGCTTATCTTGATGCTGGTCTTTGGCCAAGTGTCTACCGTACCCAATGACTGGGTACGCGTGGCTAAGCTCGCTAGTTGATTTTATCAAGATAACGTTCAATCTAATATCATCCGTGCTCTGATTAACCAAGAAAATCGACACCGTTTCTCTTTCGATATAAATCGGTAATACGTATCTAATATTATCCTTTTAAATCTCTCTTTATTTCTTTTTTACTTTTCTTTTTTTTCTTTTCTTTTTTTTATATATTCAATTTATATGAATCTTCTATTTATTTGTTATCTCTTAATAATGTTTTAAAACGTTTGCGCAAAATGAGACAAGTTATTAAACAAAAACACGTTGATCACGTACACGTACTTGGGGATCTTTCAAGAAGATGAATATATCGAATCACTATCAGATTTTTGATGATAAGCAACGACTGTTGTATTCTGAACGAATGTCGTTACACAGGCATTATCGAATGCGGCGAATTTGTTGAATTCCTCGTGAAGATTTCTAAGACCTTGCTGCGAGGCAGATGCATCACCTGGTGATAAGAAAAAGAAATAAAAGGAGTTAGAATAAAAGATATAAAAGAGGGTTTTTTTTCGATCAATCGATCGACCGATCGATCTCTCGAATCTCAAGGTTGTCTTTCCGAGAAACGACGACGTTATCAAGGCTTGCATATCGATCGAAACGATCTGATGCACGATCTTAGCGCTATATCTCGTTTCTCGCTAAGAAAACCGATTATATTATACATATAAAACAGATGTTATCTTCTCGTGAAACATTAATCGAGTATTTAAACGGGTGACGGCACTTTGTTTTGCACAAAAGAAAATAATACAAAATCATAAGAAACATCGTGATAGGCGTGGAAAGAAATAATATATTTTCTTAACCCTTTTCTTTATTAAAGTCTCTCTCTCTCTCTTTCATGTATTTACTCGACGTACGCAAAAATAAATGAGAAAAGTACAAATGGCGTGCAACTAAACGCAAAGATAGCGAAAGTAAAAGAGAATGAGAGAGGGCAAATGTCTCTAGCAAGGTGATTTTACTGCAAGTAATATTCTGTAAATCGGTCGTTTCAGCTAACCCCTCGTTTCTGTAATTTAAAAGCGAGCAAATGGCGTTCTTCGTAAGGCCGACGAAGTGAAATCGATACCCTGAAAGAGAAGGAGGCCTAACACGTTATCGTTCTCATCGAACTTTTCTGCCAACTAACGGGCACAATTTTTACATTAGCTTGACCGTATAGACCCGTAAAAAAAGCTTAGCAATAGGGATAGTAGTCGATAAGCCAAATGGAGCTTTAACCTCTAAATAAGCACGTTATACCCAAACACGCTGGTACTATATGATATATATACGCTCGTTCGTTATTTCTCTCTTATCCGTTATATAAACCTCTACTACCCATCCCTTTTTACGTCCCTTTAACATCGTAAATATTAGAAGAAGACTAAAATAATCAATAGGTCGATAAAATCGTGAGAACGATCGATCGTTACGAGTAAACTCATAAATCTACTTGAAGATGCCTATAATATCTGCTATGTATTGTAAATATATATAGTATATGTAGAAGAGTGAAATATGAGTTTTAATAAATAATGTCTGGAGAAGAGAAGAGAAACGCGTTTCTCTTCTTCGACCAAAGTAATTCGTGGAAATAACAGAAAAGTATGCGAGGCAAGCTTTTCGGACGAGAGCAAGCTGTGATTCGCTCGAGCAGACAGAACAGTTTTTACGTCCTGCAGGCGTACGCATAATACAGAGAAAAGCATATTTCCCTTCTTCGACGGTGTACTTCGTACGACGAAGGGATGAGGAATGGGAGAGGGGAGAAGGGACTACGTCGACGTTTCGGTTGGCGAAGCGAGTTCGTACCGAAGGAGGAAAGTCTGTGAGCTACGGAACACATTTGTATGTAGCTTCGTGGTTATACAACCACAATTCACTTCGCCAGACTATCCCCTATATTATTTTTCTTTTTCTTTCTCTCTGTACCGTTCGTTTCCGAAAAGAAACGCACGCTCCAAAGATGAGGAGACACCTTGCGTTCCTGAAGAAGGACGAGAATATGAAAGAGAGAAAGGGTAGAAGTAGAAGGACCAGTGACGCAGGCAGTTATAAAAGAGGGAGAACAGAAAGAGAGAAAGAGAAAGAGTACAGGGACTGCGTCTCGCTGCAATATCGGAAGTACGAGAAAAATATGCTTCCCAAGCACAATCAAGGACGTGAATGCATTCCATGCACGGTCGCAAGAGTTTCGAAGCATATTGGAATTTTTCCTTGGTATTTTCCACGGGCCTTTTTCCTCTTCCTCTATTTCTTCTTCTTCTTTCTTCTTCCTTCTCCTTATTCCATTCCCTCCCTCTTACATTTTTACCTTCTCCACTTCCTGTCTGAGAAACGTGCCTCGAACAAACCTAAGAACCGATGTCCTTCTCACATACACACACATACAGTGCGAGCAACTCTTTCGTTTTCTACGAAAGAAGCTACGATTTACCTTGCTTGCTTGTTTGCTTGTTTGTTTCCTTCCTTCCTTCCTTCCTTCTTTCTGTACGTTTCGCGATTTATCTCTTCTTCTACGGAGTTTCTTTCTTTAGAATAGAAAAAAAAGAAAGTAACCAACTACGTTCCTCATTCAATTCGAATAATGAAAAAAGGATTATTACGTCGATACGATTCTATCGATAATTGAAATTTCTCTGAATACTATCTGAGTCATCAATTTAGAGACTTTTCGACTATGACATTCTTATAGATTGTTTAGGAAAAGAAAAATAATGAAGGAAAAAACTTATAGATTCCTCCCATACACTTTCTTGATTACTTATAATAAACTAGAAAGTTGCGGTTTAGAAAATATAACTTTGTACTCGAATAAATGCGTTTACGCGAAATATTAGATTAACTTTGTCTTCTTGTGGATCGCTCAATTACTTTAACATAATAATGTCCTGATAAAAGGGTGGGAGTAGATACCGAGTACCTAATTAACTAACGGAGACCAGTAAATTCATTCACGTTGGCCTCTCTCTCTCTCTCTCTCTCTCTCTCTTTACTTCCTACCTTCTTGCTATTTTACCTTCCTGTTTTCTTGTCTTTTCGCCTGCCTGCCTGCCTGCCTGCTTGCTTGCTTGCCCTTTGGCCTCCGACCAGCGTTAAAATTCGTTGAAAATCTAATATTCTGTTGAAGAGGGAGTGAGAGAGAGAAAGAGTGAGTGAACGAGAACAGGGATCGATAATACGTTTAGTAATAGTTGGTACCGAACTTGGTTAGGTTGATGCCTTCCTGCTTCTTCCTCAATAGTACCTACACCATGTCTCACTGTTTAACAGACTCAAGTACCAGTGAGTTAAATAGATAGCCTTTACGATGAGAGATGGGTGAATGTATATATATATATATATACCACACACGTATAATATTCTCGAGCACTCTCCTACGGATAATATCGTCTGTGATGTGATATCGAAGTTAAGTTAAGGTTGTACCCTCCTGCCCTTCTCGTCAGTTCGCTTGCAAGAGCAAGCCCACCATCACCACCACCACCACTACCAAAAACCCTTTTGTTTCGAACACGAGAATGAAGTGTGATCAAGGGTAGAAGAGAAAAAGAAAGATAAAGAGAAAATGTTTAAAAAGGAACTAGGGAAAAGTCTTTCTTACTCCTTTATCATCTCTTTTACGAGTACTCCATATACTTAATTTTAACAACGTTAGGGCATATTAATTGAAGCAAAGTATCGTGCCAATAAATGGACTCGCCATATTTCTCCTACTTATCAACCTTTATACATTTTATCGAAGAACAGAAGAAGAAGAAGAAGGACAAGAGAGTACCGAAAGTACTTAACAAGATCGATTTCCGTTTTTGTCCTAGCAACGAGGGTAGAACCTAGCCATTGACACCAATGACGAAGCTCCGATAAAGGATAATTAGTTGAATTATTTTCAATTAGTTAGAAGTGAGTTCCTAGGAAAGAAGGGACCTTCAATCCATTTGATATTAATCGAAACGATCCTCTTGTAATAGAATGAAATGCTTAAAAGCTCGTATTAGAGGTAAAGAAAGAGAGAAAATTAAAAAAAAAAAAAAGAGAAAGAGAGAGAGAGAAAGAGAGGGATTTTAAAGAACGCAAATATTTGAGGTTTAAACGATCGACTGTCACGCATGCATGTAGACTATCTTTTCCAGCCTGGATCGATCCACATGGAACGAGAGAGAATTCAACCCCTCGTCTCCTACCCCCTTTTTCCCGTTCCGTGATTGGCCATATGCGACAAGTTTGCCAAGCCATACTACAGTGCCGTTGGTGACGACTTTTAGCGCCCGATCGCGTAGTTTATTTGTTTAACGTATTAACGCTTTTAAAAATCGAAGGGACAACAAGAAAAAAGCATCGATAGATGTCCCTTGTCGCAAATAGTTCAAAGGGGGGAATAGGGGGTTTTATATTGACAAGTGTTAAAGATGCCACAACCCCTCACTGGATTAAATCACCGTATACCACGTGCGGCTTTATTCTTAATACGATGTTAAACGAGAAAACAAGATGTGTAACGTATGTGCTCATGTGTATCTTTATACAATTTGTAAACGTATGTTAGCTATTTAAAAGAATTTATGCAAACAAGAAGAATATATATACCTACGTATTTCCCTTTCTCTCTTGTTACGGATAAATGTTAAAGGACAGTTGTCTTTTCTAAAGAATGAGATAATATATATATATATATACATATCGAATAAAAAGACAATGTAAATATAACGTAAGCCCGTAAATTCCTGTTCCATTTTCTTTCTCTCATTTTCACGTACGGCTTTCAATGCTAGGTGTATATATATATATAGGTATACCAAAGTATATAAGCTTGAAGTAATAGGAAATAGTCTTTCGTGGCAAACAAGCGATAGATTTATAGTAGCAGACGTCTATATAAGAGTTGCAAATCTCTTTGACGTAGTAAAGGAGAAAAAGGGAGCAAGCAAATCAAAAGATTCAAGAAGAGCCAATAGAAGTGACTTCGAAATATTGCGTCCCTTATTGAAATATATTTGTA